TGCTAGATTTTCATGTAACATACATGTATACTCTGATGCAATCAAAAACTAATAATTCCTTATTCTTGAATTTTCAATAATTACTTTTGTTTGGTTGTCAAGTACACATTTTCCGTATGCAACATACATGTAAACAGTTCTGTGTTACTAGGAAGTACTTTTAAGGCGGTCTTCATAAAAAAATATGAAGCAAACCTTACAACACAATTAATAGATTAAAGATTAGAAAATAAGCATTCAAAGGAATAATACATTCAGTTTGACGCTTAAAGAATTTAAAAGAGACTTTTTAACAAATTATATATTTCAAGGACAGTGTTCATCGATTTGCTTTTGTCAGACATGTTTGTATTACATTATCTCAAATATCCTACACTGACATCCTTTGTCGTCAGGTATTCAATTAAAATACGGTTATGTCATAACAAAATATTTGTATCACATGACAAATTTAGATTTAGGTACCGGTAAGTGAACCGGATTTCTCAAAATATATCACAATAAAACAATCTTTTCATGAATAAAATAGGGTAAATGTTCGTAACTAAGCTCTGTTTTGGATACTGATCGTTAATTGTCGATTTGAATACTGTTGAATTATCAAAGAATTACAATAAATACGTACTCATTAGATTAAAAATAGTTTGAAAATATAAATCTTACATGCATTATTTATAATCTCTGAATTCTGTGGTCCGTTCAATGCATACGACTGTTGTTGTTACAAGATTTTTTTTGTATTCCCCCCCCCCCCCCATTTTTTACAAAACATGAATATCCTTCCCCATATGCTAAAGACACCTATAATTCTTTTTTAATTTTTTGTTGTCTTTCTTGACTTCTCTATATCAATATTTAACCATGGTAGCGGGGTAGAAAAAAACAGCTTTTATTGTAACAATTTCTTATATTATTGAAGATGTCTTTTTTTATTATAAAAAAGACACCTATCAGTTTTATGTTTACTTATTGTTTTCTTTTTCTCTTTGAATAAGTAATCATTTGATTATTCTTTCTCATATGTAAGAGATATTTCCATGATATATTTTTTTGGTGTTTTATTTTATTTAAAACATAACTATATTATGTACAATTGTCCATTTCCTTTGAAAAACCACAGTTGAGTCCTTGCTGAATGTGCCAATTTGATAGTTTTATTATGATTTGTCTCACATTTATCGTCAACTTCTGTTACTTATGGAGCAATTAACATGTACCTTTATCACCTGCATGCAGGGTTTGAATCTCCCAGTTGATACGCAAGAGCATATTCATTGTAAGAACAAGAAGATCAAGAAACTGTGTCAAACTGAATAATTATGATCATTTTAATTTTAATTTTAAATTCCAATCACGTCCAACAAATTTATTCGGAATTTCTCTTTTGAAGTCTGTTTGTTGTTGTTAATGTCACACACTATCCATTGCAAAAAATTCATGTTAAGTGTATGTACAGAGTGAATCTAACTCATATGGTTCATCTACAAATGAAAGAGTACGAAATACAACACTGATAAGTGATATTTTTATAGTAATGCATTTTATTTGATGCTTAGATGCCTAAAATATGTTTTTTATTCATTCAAATTAGGCATCCGTTTTACTTTAATCTGACATTAATTGTAAACTGTAAAAGTAGTTTAATGGTGGAGAAAGCTTGTGATTCAATTCTAAGCATCTAATTAATCCAATTTAAATTATTTATATGACAAGAGAGATTGATGGTTACTAATTAATTTTTCTTAACAAATATATGCAGAATTAACTGGATCATGAACACAGTGAAAAGACATATACATGTAGCAGACAGTTGGAATTTTTGCAAAAACATACAAGTACCTCAATTATAGAACACTTTTTCAGTTACACTGAATTCTTACAAAAAAGCTATAGAAATTAAAAAAGACTTTATCTTTATTTTGCAAGTTTATCAGTGTATCATATACAGACAGACCTTTTGTATTCTGTATGGAATTTTTTTTGTTTAAAGTATTGAAATCTGTTATATAGTTTCTAGTTAGGGTATTACAATTTAGGATAATGGAATCTTCTAAAACTATCTTCTTGAACCTATTGATAGAAAAAAGGGGATTTACCATTTCTTTCTGAAAATTTAACGTAGGAGAGGTATTTAAACCCTTAATAAAACAAGTTAGACATTAGTATTTAAAGTGATATGCAGCGAATATAATTCAAGGATTTAAAATAATTATACTGATATGGTAAGATTAGCCATGTTAAAGTCCAACTGACCATCATATTTTCATGTGACACTGACCATCATATTTTTCATCTTGCACTGACCATCATATTTTTATCTTGCAATGACCATCATATTTTCTTGTCGCATTGACCATTATATTTTGTTGTCATTATTTATATGTTATACTTGTACGTGTACATTTAATGCTGTGGGGCGATGATTCTCTTACTAATGAACAAAAGACTGAACTTTTCAAGACTATTCAAACTTTCTTAAATGAATGTGGTCGTTTTTCAAAATAAGCTTACTTTATATTTTCCTTTCCGATTCAAATTATACTTGTACATTTCAAGAACTTATTTTTCCCCTTTTCTATTACTACGATGTATATGTAGTAGACCATATGTATATATATATTTTTTTTATTTTGGAAATTTTACAGAATGTTGTATTAGGAGAGGACTATCTAAGTTTCTTGTAAACTTGTGTCCGATCCTATTGACTTTGTCAATAAAATATGTTAAATTCAATTCATTTCATTATATTTTCATGTCGCACCGATCCAAGGCGGGTGGACGTGTTGTACTAATTAATGTGTTCAATTAAACTTCATAATAAAAATAAGCACTTATGATAATAAAAGTCACCAAATGTAGTATTCGATAATTACGGAGACGGATTAGTTCGCGGTGATATGAGGTTTCGCATTAAATAGTCACTTTTGTAATTTTTTGTCCATACATTTTGTGGTTTTGTTAGTTCGTTTGTTAACTGTGTTCTCTGACGTCCCTCTCGAGAATTTTTCACTCATACATGTATGGAGACACCACCACTTTCTGGTTTAGGACTGCAAATTTTATACCTTTATTCTGCGCTTAGGGCCATTGAGCAGTTAAACCCCTGTCACACCGGGGCTGCGTCCTCACGGCGACTGCACGGCGTCCTAAAAAATGCAAAACGCGATTGCAGTAGAGTCTCCTACAGCACCGTGACAACGCGGTTAGATCTCCACTGAACGCGATAGGGTTGCGTAGGGTCTCCTAGAATGCCAGGGGAAGGTGATCACTTTAGGCATGCACAAAGTACGCGTCGTGTGATCGCGGTCTGATAAGAACGCAGTAGAAACGTAGATTGATCGCCGTAGCAGCGCGGTGAGATCTCCAGCAACGTAGTGGGAGCTCCGTACGAACGCCGTGAAGACGCACATGATAGCGGCACGAACGCAGAGATAGTAGACTGCGCTTCCACAGAGACCTCACGGAGATGTCGCGGAGTCCTCGCGCACTGCGTTTCTATCGCGTTTTTACGGCGCTTCCAGTGAGATTTATCGTCTTGTGATTTTTTTCGACTGCGATTACACGGTGACAGTACGGAGTTGTCACTGCGATCATTGCGCTCCCATGGCGTTTTTACTGCGTCCATGGCGATCGCAATGCGCTTTCACGGCGTTGTTAGAGCGTTGTCAGCCAGCTCACAAAACAAGAGCAATGGGATGATATTTGATTAAGGAATGAAGCTTATTTCAACTTATGTTATCCGATATAACATAACTTGGGGCAGTTTACGCTTTATAAACCGCGAAGCGGTTTATAGAAAAGCGTAAACTGCCCCAAGTTTTGTTATATCGGATAACATACGTTGAAATAAGCTTCATTCCTTATAATTTAATTTCAGTGCAGACAATGAGATATTTTCCCCCCCAGAATAAGGCTTCACATTGATTAAATTTTAAAAGTTACGTCAAGCGGAGTAATACGTTTTTGACGTAACTCATTGTGACGTAGGCAAGTTATGTTATACAAAATGGATAAAATCTTTTATCCAATCAAATGACGTGTTACAAGTAAAATTAAATTATTCAGCAATAATTCCAACGTATTTGTTGCACTAGGAGCATTAAAGTGAAAAAAATAGAAGAGAAAATTACACCAGAACTTGTTCTATTGTTTCACTTAAATTTTGTAGAAAACTTTTCAGTGTGTTATTTGTACATTCATAATAAAATCAAAGAAAATCTAACAACAAATCTGAACCGATAAAATTGAATAAAAAAGGAGTTTAATCATAAAACTAATAATAATTTAGTACTAAATTATTTAAATAGAACATTTTCGATGATTAAGAATATTTCTTGGTATGCTTAGAAGTCTTTTCATTGTGTAACTTGAATCTTTAAACAAAAATGTTTTACATTCCTTCTGAATATATATCAATGAGCATAGAACGCATTGTGAACGTATTGAGAACGCAGCCAGCGCAGTGAGAACGCCGTGAACACGAGGTGAAAACTCCTAACGCGCCGTGAAAACTCCGCGGAAGCGCAGTCAATCGCCGAGAGATCTCCATGGGAACGCAGTAGAATGCCGTGTTATCGCCGTAGAATCGCCGTAGGGACGCCGTAACATCTTCATATTGTGAAATTTTTACAGAAATATGTGCAATTTTCCTGCGATTCCACAGCGATTTTAAAAATTTAACATCGCCGTAATGACTCCATGTGAACGCAGCTTGGTGTGACAGGGCCTTTAGGGATATTTTCTTGCAAGTGGCCTCGCCCAATCTTTACGTTCCGCAATGGGATTCAAACCCACGACGTAATTATAAAGATCAATTCTTTTCTTTCCTGACTCTAGGATTAACGGTATAATCTTTGCGCTTTGTGGATGACAAAAAATTAAATTAATGTGATAATCATCCTTCATAATTTTTATTGCATATTTTAATTATTATTTTTTAATATTATAATAATGTTTTAAACTTCACAAAATGTTTAACATGTTTTTCTTATTCTCAATTTTAAGGCATCTACAGATTCGGAAATTTCTTCAAATCCACAGACATACATTGTAGACGGTAAGTTCCTCGCTGATTAAAAGTATCTCAACCTCGATCTTAGTGTATTGTGTATCGTGTCAACGGCAATGGTTACTGACTAAAGTAATTTCTGAAGGGTTGGTAAGAAAATATTTCAAAAGTAAACAAAACTCAATTAATACAAAAGATGTACATCGAAGTACATGTATTTTTATTGAATGAATATCAGACTCAGTCTTCCCGTGCCTGAGAGTCACGGACCATTTGGACGAGGGGGCAACCGCCAAAAAGTCTACGTGTCGGATTCTATTATAAGATGTTTTTATCTTCCTTTTCTTTTGTCAACTTTTGTTGATGTTTCCTTCTGGAATATGTGCGCGTTATTAAGCAGAGCCTTTTTGTAAAAGTTTGAAGGATATCAAAATACAGAAAAAATACTTTCATGAAATCTTAAAAGCCGGTTATGTGTTTGTAATTTTTATTCATGAGAGAATTATGATAATCACTTGCTTTAAAAAAATTCTAGAACATTTTTAAGTAAGACAGAATGAAAGCAGATTTGGAGCTTTGTAACTTTGATAACTGATAAATACATCCTTTTTTTAACGATCCAAACCTACCTGTTATTTTTATGATAAGTACCCTTTTGGTCAAAGACAGCAAGTGAGATTCATCATGTTTTGGTCATTTCACATTTTGTTTCTACAACTGAGCTAAGAAAAATATTTTGAAATATCCATCCATCAAGTTCTCAAAATCGGCATTCATTCAATCGATACGATATATCCTGGTGAGCTTGAGATAAAAGATACCACAGAGTCTGACACATCTGTTTCATACTTGGGTATTTTACATGAAAAAGACGTTAATGGTAATCTAACAACCAAGCTATATGTTAAACGTGATGACTTTAACTTTTCTATCGTTAACTTCCCTTACTTATGCAGCAATATACCCTCATCACCTGCTTACGGGGTGTATAATATACAGTTGATTCGATACGCAAGAGCCTGCTCTACGTATGAACAATTTCTAAAACGAGGTAAATTATTGACAAGCAAATTGATGAGACCAGAATATCAGCAGTCTCGCTTAAAGTCATAATTTCGTAAGTTCTATGGTCGATACAATGACCTTGTCATCAAATACAATTTATCACTGAGTCAAATGCCGACTGAGGTTTTTCATTCAAATACTTAGTCCATTATTCATACACTGAATTGACGACAGATTTTCCCGTTATTTCCCGATCATGACAAGGAGAACACGGCTGGTGTGACCGGTCAGCAGGGGATGCTCACTCCTACATGGCACATGATCCCACCTCTGATGTTTCGGAGGTCCGTGTTTGCTCTGCTCCTATTTTGTATTGTTTTATGGACTTTGATGTTGAATACTGTTCGTTATTGCCATATCCTTCATTTAGATTTGTTTTGATGTAATTTCAATTACGGTAATAATGTCATGCTACATGTATTACTGCTGCTAATGATGATGATGTTCTTCATCATCACCCATCTTCATCATCACAGTGTTTATGTTTGTTTACATGTATGAAATAATTTCATCAGTTAACGTCTCTGGAAAATATAAATGACCTAAAATGCTAATTTTCGTGAATATCTTTTAAATGGAAATGATTTCAGTATATTAGCGGTATTATACGGTCATTCTGATTGGTTTAGAGCATGTCACGAAAGTGGAGACAATAGGTTATGTCTTTCTCGCGCGCAGACTGACAGTTGTCGTTTCAATTGTTTAGATTCTACAGGATGCTAAAAACAATCATGGACTGTTAAGAAGGGAGACATAAAAAACTATCAGGTCTGAGTAGGGTCGTCACCCGACGGAATGAATGACCTCTAGTTACACCCCTACCTAGACCTGATAAATTGGTTATTCCCCCTTCTAAGCAGTCCATGGAGAATGTATTTGCATAGGGTGAATTCACCATGCATCGGACACCCTTGTACTTCAACAATTTCTAGCGATATCGCTACTGACGAAAAGTTATCAAAATGGAGCTTAACATTTACAGTGTAGTATGTGATCGAAATATAAATTTGGGACAAAATTATATATTTTTTATTAAGGAAATATTATCAAAAATCGAGTTTTTAAAAACCGCTTAGAATTCATCATGGATCGGACATTATTATGTTCCCCAACGAAGTTGGGGAACATATTGTTTTTACTCTGTTTCTTCTTCTTATTTTTCTTCTTCTTCATCGTCTTCTTCTTTTTCTTCTTCTTCTTCCTGGGTACTTTTTTCTCCGGGAGTGATCTTGTAAACTATACATCCGACTTAGGTAAAACCTTTTTAGGGTCAGTAGGCATGTTATGTAGATTTGCGGAACGAAGGTAATTTTGCGCGCAAATGCTTGCAAGAGCGTGCACGTGCAACACATGAAATGACCAATTTAATTGATATAGGAGTAACTTTCTACATTTTTGATAAAATGCTTTGAAACTCATAATATAAGGATATATTAGTAGCATAGAAAATATGACATGGTCAAAATAGCAAGATCTCACGCGCATGCATGTGCGCTTCGTTCTGATTGGATGAAACTAAAGCTCAATATCTTTCTTGTTTTTTGACAGAATTCTTTGAAATTTTGAACATAGCCATACATTAGGATATCCTACAACACGATATATAGCAATTATCATGAAAACACGTGCATGCACGTGCGCTGCAATCTGATTGGCTCAAACTTTAAATAGCTATAACTCCCTTGGTTTTCAACCAAACAGGATGGGATTTGGAACATACATAGATATAATAGACTTCTACAAGATGTTATTGTCACCATGCACATGCATTCACGTGCGTGTACATGCGCTACAATCTGATTGGCTTAAACTTTTAAAAGCTATAAATCCCTTGGTTTTCAACCAAACCAGCTCTAATTAAGAATTAAACAACATTGAAGTGAAATTTCTTTATAATAATATGTAAAATTACCCATCCTTGACAAAATTCACCCAAGTCAGACTCGTTCCGTGATAGTCGAATTTAAAGAACGATAACTCTAAAAATGGCAAAATCTTAATTGTTTTGGTTATTCTCCTTTGATGATGTAAAATATGACGTTACTTCAAGGCCATTCTCGGGGTATTTCTTATCAAAACATATTATATTAACAATTGGTACAATGTATTATCCAAAAATTTAAATCCTCAGCTTCAAGTCAAAAACAAATAAGTACACGGAACTCTGAAGTTGAAAAAGAGTTTATTGTCTATAAGTGTCCGAAGCAAGGTATGTGTCAGATGCATGGTTAACTCATCCTATTGCATTCATATAAAATATGATACCAAATTTTTGATTTTTTTTTTTACAACATCTTCTCTGGACCACGAAAATTACAGCACACAGTAACACGAAGAATCGTTTAAAAATATATGTACATGTAGATGTATAAAAAGCTGTCTGATGCTTATTTGACATGCAGAGGGTTAAATGAATTGCAGAAGAATTGATATCATCCATTTTCTTTCAATAGAGGGATATCCACCTCCGGATTATCCAGGTGACGAGGTATGTACTGAGTTATTTATCTAAAGCTTTTTATTGAATCTTGAATTTAAAAGTGCTTTTTCATCTTTTTATTGAAAAAAGTGTACATATAATTTTCTCCTCTAAACCTTTCAAAATTTCAAATTCGATCTTAAAAGTCCTTTAACACATACTATTTTATAGAAATGAACTCCAATATCACTTGATAAAAATGTATCCACTATAGGTTAAAAGGAGCAAACAAAACAAAGATACAAAACAAAATATTCTTGTGCTTTTTGATTTGAAGCCTCTGGTAGAATATGACATTTTTAAAATTTTTTTTATTCTTTTTTGATTTCTCCTTAAAGAAATAATGAAGAAAAAATTGAAATCGAGCGCAAAATATTTTTTTCTCAAATAATATTTTACGAACAATTTTTTTTCCGTAAGATTTATATTTAAAAATTGACATTTTTTTTTACAGATAGAGGATTCATCTCATGGCTCAAGTGGATATTTAGGTGTTAAAAAGTAAGTTGCGAAAATAATAGACGGGTTTTAAATTATGAGTACTACTGATAAAGTAAAATTAAAATGTTATATAATTTATATCAATGTAACATAGCACCTATAGTAAGTCATTATTTTTCTGTACGGATCATTATTATTAATCAACTCAAATTTGATTTTTGAGAAATCATTCCTGTATGATTCGTCTAAAAACACAATGGAAATGCAATTTAAAAACAATAATCTTTTTTTAAGGAAATTTAAATCGAAGAATGTTCTAGATATTTTCATTTCATGGGTTGTTTCTTACATAGTTCTCAGTAAAACGTACTAAGAAAGATGACTCTCGATTGTTTATAAGATTTCTTTAAAGGAAATAAATAACAATCAATTGGTTGTCTAAGCAGATAGACACATCTAGACGTAAAGAGAACATTTGAACAAAATTTTTAATAAAAATACTAGCCTTATTGAAGCTACATTTTTGTAATTTCTACGGAGAAATAAATCCTGAAATATAATATATGGAGATACTGAACAGTATTTCAGCTAAAAAGTCTGTTTAACCGTACAAACCTGGAACACAGCAAATTAAGACCTCAGAAAAAATTAGAGGTTGAATCGGGTACTTTGGAAGGAGTGGGCATCCCCTGTCAATGGGTCACACACGCCGGAAACGAATAATGAAAATAATGTGAAAGCTGAAGACCAAAAACGAAAAGTAATAAATGTTATAAATCCAAGATAGAAATCGAATGAAAACGAATGTAAACATGGCAAAACAATTGACTTTTTGAAATCCAAAAGGATTCCGGGGCAATTATACTTAGACAAGCCTAATTTTTTAAGGTCATTCTCTTTTTATAAGAATGAGAAAAAGATATACCTGATGTATAGTTAGATTTCTATTGTGGCGAGGATGTAATCATCACCTGCAGCTAAATATCCTTTTGTCGTACATGCACACATAGGTTTCTTACATTTTGTTAAATCTCTTCTTGGATGTTAAAAAATGCTACTTTATTTAATTTTTAAGGGCAAATAATGGAAGACTTCAAGAAAGACAAGTGAGTAAAACTTAGATACTATACTTTTCAAGAGTTAATAAGTTATCTTCATAAATTCAGTGTTCAAGATGTCCTTCAATCTTCGAAGTCCATTTCAAAAAGGGACACACCTGTATTATTGATTTCATATATTTTATTTAAACACTGCAGATTTCTCACTTTTACTAATCTTGAATTTTTAAGGTTCACTTAAGTAAAGAGAAGTATAAAAATCAAAATGTGCGCACACGTATACATACTTATAACACAAATCTTTATTATTTTGTATTTCCTACAGTTTTGTAATATTCAGAAAATGCATGACTTTTTTACAAAACAGAAATCAGATTTATCTAAAGCCACAAGTGGATACATAGACATTAACAGGTAAGATTAGAATTTGTTATACAGCTATCAATGATATTTATAAGAAAGTAAAACATTTAACGAACACATTAAGTAATATATGGTATTTATAGTTCCTATCTATGTATTTATCATTTGCCTTTAGCTCTATTTATTACTTGCAAGACTTCCTATAAATAATTTTTGAGAATAAATATTTGCATTGCTTTCAGTTAATAAAAGTCCCCACATAGGTTAATATTACATTAAATGATATAACTCCTGTCTCTGCACAGAGATTTCCAGGACTGGTGGAGGTATGCACGACCTATTTCCCTTTATCTTGCTTTACATGCATCAGTAGGTTTCAAATGCATATGATATGTCTTTCTTACGGGTTAAACATGGCAGAATTATTTTTTTTCATCTATAGGGCAAACAATAATAGAGAACTTCAAATGAGACTGGTGAGTATTATTCACCCTGCATGTTTTCTTTTTGAAGAGTTGATAAACTTTCATGACATGCATAGTGATTATTTAGAGAGATTTCAATATCCAGCTTCTAAGTACACGAAACGAAAAACAATTATTTTTCCCCTCTCAGTCTCACAAATTATATCAATCTTTCAATTTTCTCTTTTTGAAATAAGATTTATACTATAGCTAAGTAAAAAAAAATTAAAGTTTTGTAATTCTGTAAATTTTCGTATCTTCCATGTAACAGAAATTTCTGTAAAATTTGTGATTATACAATAAAACACTAGAGTTGTTTTCTTAAAAAAAAAAGTAATTTCAAAATTTTGTAAGCTACTTCCATTTATGCTCTATACCAATACTTTAATTAAACATGTACAAATATTTATACAGTATATTTTTTTTTTAAAGTTGAATCTTCAAAACATGTTTTGAAAGTCAAGATAAGTGCATTTACTCATCAAATAATATTGCTCAATGACAAACACAAAGTTTCTGAAATCAGTAGTTCCGTTATATCTTAAGTTTCTAGCTACTGCATGAAAAGACTTACACTTAGACTGAAATCAATTGCAATAAGAAGATACATGTATAAGCGACATTTAGTTTGCACTTAAGGTTTTTAGACAAAATGCATATGCATATAGGAGAAATTTATCAATAACAAAGGTTGTAACGGGAGCAGATTTCAGGGAGAAATTTCTGCTGCTTTTATAGCACCTTTTAACGACGGTTTAAAAAATACTGCTACATTTAATGGTATTTGAAGGATCCAGGACTCAACATAGAAACTAATTAGAAGTTTATACTTTTCAGAACAAAAGTGGACCACTTTATGATAATAGTAAGTATTGAAAAAAAATCACATGCCATAACTTTATCCTTATCATTGTGAAAAAACTGTTAGTATAAAATCTATAAATCGAGATTTAAAAATATAATAAATACAGGTATGATGTTATTTATATTTTATTTCAACCAGATGTCCTGCCAAATCTTGCTCATCATAAATGTGTATCCATTTCAACAAAGAGACAAATACCAGCTCTATATAATGTGAGTAAATCAAGTATCTGCTTTAAATGATTTTTTCATTAATTTTTTTTATATGATTTTAAGATGTATCTCTGATGTGAAATAATTTTTATTTACTGTTGCAGGATTTTTCAAACCCTACCGGAAATGTAAGATTCTTAATGATTGTTTATAAGGACAAAAATAAAAAAAAATTTGATAAACAAAAATTTATTTAAGGATTTTGCTTGAAAGAATTAAGCCTATCAGTATTATCGGTTGAAATCTTTTGCTGGTACAATTTCAAGGGATGCCATTTTATATAAAAATCATGTTTTTGTTGTGAGAGAAAACGCCGTAAGACTCATAGGTATCATTTATTAAAAAACATTAATTTTGAACAAGTGTCACGATTTTCTAAGGCATTTATGAAAATTATACTTGTAAAAAAAGAAAGAGTTATAGCAAATAGAGAAAGTGTAACTGTTTGCAAATAATATTCTTTTTATAAGGCATTTATCCTAAGATTTTACGGACTCATGTTTCTACATTTGTAGGGTCATTTAATGAATAATTTCAGACTTGGAATTTCAAATGTGAGTTTTTTTCTTACATTGATAAATTTAAACTTCAGATTGATAAAAATTAAAGAATAAGATCTAATAAATTTATTTGTTGTATATCAACAGAATATAATTAATACTTTCTTTGCCTATATAATTTCAGCAATCAAGACACGCCCATGCTTTCGATGCAGAGAGTTCTATTCCATATTCTAAGGTTTTTTAACATATATAATTCTTAAATATTCCATTTTGTTTATTTGGTTTTTTGTTATGCATTTCAACATTTTTAAATTTATATTTCATATTTCTAAGGAGAATTTGAAAAACAAGCGAATGTGTGTCAAGATGAGCAAAGTTAGAATATTCATCACAGCAGTAACGATTGCGGGACTAGCACTATTGCTCATATTTTTTGTCATTGGCCAGATTACGATAGAGGACTTGAATGAAAATTTTCGGACGCAAACCAGTTCTTTAAAGGGTAAGCAAATTATACCTTGATGTGCATATAACATCATTGGCATTTTAGGGGTTGGGCCGGTAACTACTCTGCACGGAGGTAGCCAATTCGTGCTACCAATCTCCCAATATAATGCAGGAAAACCGCCACAGGTATTTCCACTCATTCTTTGCAATGAAGTTTCTATCCAATAAAAATATTCCAGGAAGCGTGCTCCTGTTGTTCGTAATTTTCCATAACTACGTACATGTATATACGTTGACTCTATTCAATTAGAACATGCACCCGTTTCCTTGTTTTTGAACTCTATTGAATGGTTCACTGTCAGATGGAGATATTCTTCTTTTTTTAATGAGGAATACGCTTTCCAGCAGTCAGAATAAATTGTGGTTCCAGGCTCAATGTATTTTTGAATTATAGGAAAAAGAGTTGCTGCACTTCTGTCACTTGCAACCACAAAGAAGCATTTTTTTGGATTCCCTCTCAATGCCACCGAATATCCAGACACCATCCACTCTTTTTCCACGGTGATACTTTCGTTTACCGTATTTGCTCTCATCGATTTCAACAGATTTACCTGGTCCTCCAATCTTCTCGTTATCTTGTAGCAAAATACATAAGCACATCTCTCTGGCAAAATTTCTCCAGTCCACTTTTGTGTGTTCGCTGCTTAATTTTAATTCTCGTGAAATAAAGTCGCCAGGTAAGTCATAAATCCAATAATAAGTAAGTTTCACAATTTGTTCCAGTAACAGGTGTGATTTTGAAAACCGCGATCCTTCCCTTATAGATATTTTCTTATTACACTTGCGGTTTGTGCACCTCCATACTTCACCATCTTTGCTGAATTATATTCAACAACTTGAAAACGAAATGACCCTTCTCCACAAATGCCACACAAACTACGAAAGTCTCCTAAAAGGCCCTTAGTTTGAAGCCAATCTATTAGGAATCTTCTGTTTTTGCAAACATCATAAATATCGTCATAGATAAAGGGCATAGTAAATCTTGTAAAATCAGCTGTTTCGTGTTTACAACTTCAAATGACGTATTAAACTTACCTCTAAACCAATCAGAGAGCACGTCTGGGTCACGTGACTAGCAACGTCATGACTTTGGAATGCGGTCAAGAACTAGAAACTAAGAGGTTTGTTTTGAATTCCCAGAAAATTGTAATTAATAAACTTCGTTAATAAAACGAAGTTTATTATGATAAACAATGAGAGGAATTAAAAAAAATAGGTCTTTTTGGATATTATTGCCGTTTTAAGGAAATCGTCACGCTGACGCGTGACCCTTTTATAGAGAGAGAGCACGTGCTATTTCCATGTAATTTGTACGTACCGGTGAAGAGTGCATATGTTCCCTTTTCAAATTTTGAGACTTAAACATTCACTTGCACTTCATTCAGCACACTCTCTAATGATATTCTCTTCGCATGAACAAGTGGCTGTCATGAAGAGAAATAAAGGAAACTTTACAATAACTATAAGAGTTCTTAATCTTGAATTCACATCCTTATTGCATAAGTAGCTCTTTTCTTTCTTTTTTCGCAGACAATGACAACTCACTAGGAATACTTCTTGAGAATCAACGACAAGAAGGCGAAAAAACAAGTGAAGTTATAAATATCACGGAGATGAGTTTGGTGTCAAATTCAAATTTGACAGTCAATTTACTTTTATTATCAAACAAAACAAAAAGATCTTTCACAGAAATTGGAGAAATGATAGAAACAATGTCGATTCGAACAAATACTTCAATTTATGAAATAGGAAATATTATGGAAGCATCGTTTAACCAATTACAATCATCTTCGGAGGACATGGCAAACACAATAAAAGTATTTTCTAATCATAGTAAAACGTCGAATTCAGATGTGAAGGAGTTAATAATAGAACAATCCAATAAGACCAAAACATACTTAGAAGATATGATGAAAGATCTATTTAAAAATCTCGAAGACAAATTGATAGCAGTCATTGAAAGGAGAAATGGGGGTATGTTCTTTTCTACGATTAAAGGTTTCTTTAAATGCCAAAACTTTTTAAAGTAAATATTCGGCATAATTTTTACTATCGACTTTAAAATCTTTTTCATTTTATAACAAACTATCCCTCCCCCTTAAAAATATCATAGATTGAAGACATTCAGAAGATTTAAAAAGAAGGTAACGGTATTATTATCTTTTTAATTTGTATTTCAGGTGGCTGCGCAAATAACAATTTAAACGTCACTACCGGTGAATGCGTAGACAGCTGTTTGAGAGTCCCTGACGAAGATTACCAGTCATGTGACACTTGTTATGGTTACGTGACGTGTTCGCATAATTATATATTCCACAGAAATTGTTCCCAGTCTCATCATGTTTGGGATGATAATAAAAAACAGTGTTTAGAGCACAGTACAACATGCAACCCATCTGACTTCTCGTGATACAAATATTGTATTTTCTTCTATTACTAGATCATGACCATTTCTCTGTCTCGATCATTATATAGAAACTGAGTAAGCAGTCATTGATATAACAAGCCATTTTAATCTTGCATTAGTATAAAAGTGTACGTATTTTTATGAGATATACAAATGTTTGCCCAAATTATATATGAAAAACGTTTTTTCTTTGGTAACCGTCGTTAAGAATCGCTCATTAAGCTTTCATTTCAACAACCTCTGTCCCTGTATTGCATCCATAGATCATGATTTCACTAAGCACATATGGTGCAAGAAAGGAAACAAGACTATACATACAATAACACATGGCAGGGGTATTCTTGGCTTGAGATAGAGCTGCTCATGGAATTGGTAAATATTTTGACCAATATTTAAAAAAAAAAAGACTTTTATGCCATGGCAGCTGAAAAATTGCCTTAAAGCCACAAGCTTATGTAAATATTTTCAAAAATGAATATTTTAAATTGTTGATGAATATATATAAAAATGTTAATTGTAATCCAATTTCAAAATAAATTGTATTAATACATATTTTACTTTATTTCCAAAAACGAGAATATAGGAAAAGCTCCAATATCTGCGTAAATAAAAAAGGGTAGAAGATCACATTTAAAATTTATAATTAAAATCGATTGTCAAGTTAACCTCTACCAGAAATTACATAATTTTAACATTAAATCAATAGAAAACATTCTAGCTAGAAATGAGTAAAGGCAATAAAGATTTGATATATTGCGATGTTTTAAACAACAGTCTGACTGTCAGAGGACGTAATAAATTTGCAAAGAATAAGATATTATTTCTATACAACTTATCCGTCTCTGTATTTGAAATTTGAAAGTTTTATTAAACATTTAAACGTGCTTCTTGTCATGTTCGGGGAAAAAACGGAAAATCTTAGGAAAATCCAGTGTGTTAATAATGGACCAACAATCAGTATGAAATAAAAAAAAAACAGTCAGCATTTGTCTTAATGATAAATTGTATTTGTTGACAAGGTCATTAGGTTAGAACTTAAGAAATAATGACTTTAAACAAGACTGCCGATATTCTTGCTTCATCAACTTATTTTTCAATAACCTACCTCGTTCACTACATTGTTCACTCATAGAACATGATCTTCTACATCGAACTTACTGAAAGATTAAAGCTTTAAATGCAGGTAACAAAGGTACATTGTTTATTGCTGAACAAGTTAGGGAAATTGACGATTAAAAAGAAAAAGTCATCACGTTTATCATATACCTTTGTTGTTAGATGACCATTAATGTATTTTTCCAGTAAAATATCAAAATATGAAACAGATGTATCTGTGGTATCTTTTATTTTAAGCTGACAGGGATATATCGTGTCGAAATAAGAAAGGCAATAACTATTGTTTATTGACAATACGTTATCGATATATCTGAATGTCAAGTTGAAGGTCACAATAAGTGTTTCAAAAATTACCAAATTTAGTTTCATATGAATACAAAAATGGGATTGCTAATACTTATCACACATCTACAAGTATATCGAACCTTTGACACCCTTTCTATCAGAAAGCACGATATCGTAGCTACATTGTATAAACATTTTACGATATTTATAAGAATAATTTGCATTGTTCATGAAGATTTATTCAGCATTTTTTAGTAATATCCGATAAAAATGAACAAATCATTTTTTTCCCTTTATATTCTCTTTCGATGATAACAGAGTTCATTAGTAAGCGTTTGAAAATTTAAGATTTTTTTTTCTCATATAAATACATTGTACAAACGGATTTAATATTTAAGTGCATTCTGTAAAAAAAAAGTTCGTTCAAGAATGAAATATCCATAGGGGAATCATCAATATACACTATTTTACAGATTAAGCCAAAACGTTATATGAGATGCCAACTTTTGTTGATAAAATGAAAAATGAAACAATTTGCGACTTCAATCTGGTCAGGTCATCGCATTGTTGTTTTCATCAGATATCTTTGTATCCTATCGTATAAAAATGTGTCAGAGGTGGATAGGTACGTATGCATGCACTGCATTCATCGATTATTTCAGTTTCGAAAGTATATTCTAGGTGTTTCCCCTGCTGTTTTCTTCTTTAAATCATGCACATATTTGTGTTGACAAGTGAATAAGCTATATTCTAAATTTCTTATTCGAAAAGAATATTCACTGTTATCTTTTCTCAACCTTAAGACACGTGGAAGGACTTCCCGTCTGCAGATTGGTCTATCATTATTTATATGCATGTGTAAAGTGAGAATAGATTTTGTACTTTGTACCTTATACAAGAAATGATCCTAAGAAAATTTAAGCATTGAAATTTATTTAAAATGCGCAACTCTTATGCACAGTTGATTTATCTCTCCCAGTCTTTACTTGCTGGTATCTTTTACCCCCTGCTTTACAATACAAATGAATTTAATTACTTTCTTTCCGCAGGTCGCATTAATATCTAGTTTTCGCTTACAGTAAAATTTCATTATTTGAATGTTCAATTTGTAGTATGGATGATTTTATATTGTTTTACGATTTTTTTTCACTTATTTGTAGACGCCAAAATATACCCGCGGATATCTTTAATTCATGACAAAATGAGGTATAAAAATGACGGCTTTAATTATCCCAATGCCTGTCATCACAAGGTACCTTACGATTTTACTTTGACGCGGCGCTGCGATCGACCCGATCACGAAGCGAACATCGTTCTACTGGGCAACTGTTAGCGGTTTTTAGGTTAAACATGAAAATTTTAAATTTTTAGTTAAAACAGCATTCTTATTTAACTTACAATAATCACCTTTGTTTGTAACCATTGACTTCAGCTCTTTTATTGTTTGCTAACAAATGCATATATTTTAAAATGTTTGCTCCTTACATTTTTTATCTGATTTTTAAAATTTTTGTTTTCATATTTTTTATTGATGATTCTTAATTATTTACAAACAAAGATGCAGTTTAACCAAGATTTGTAAGTTAGGAATTGTTAAAGACCTTTGTTTCTGAATATACAACAAATATCATTCTACATTAAGTCGGTATGAATCTGTTCTACATGCCTAGTTCCCATTTTTACTACATGAACATACACTTCCTGTTTCAAAACGATATCTGATTAGTAGGTTTATCTGAATGTCGTGGAGTTTATTCTTGACAAAAAAAATCAATCAATAAATATCTATATAAGGGATCGAAGATCGAATAAGGTTTTTAGTTTCTAAGAAGAGTGACAATAATTACAGTGGTAAGTTACAAATAAACTTATTCAGGTAAATTAAAATAGCATTTTTGTATTATCAAATTAGATTTGATACATTTCAAATACTCTCCTATTTTTCGTACCCTCAAATTGAAACAATTAACAGATATTTTTGATTGGTTTATGGACTCTGCAATACTAGTTTAAAAATATACATCAGATTGTTGTAGACTATTATTATTACATAAACTATATTACATGCAGGGTTCTCCATGAGCTGTTTTACTGTGTTGCTTCCGACACAGTAAAATTTTCTCCGTCACAGTAACGATTCAATTTTTTTTTGCATGCGACATAGTAAAAACTTTGCTGTGGTGTGATAATTAGAAAATCCAAACATATGAATTCTCTCTAACTGAAACTTTGATTAAACAAATCTACCGTCTTTCATTTCTAAAAGATAGAGCACTCAATTGCCAGGGCTTCATCTTGCAAAATCAATTATCTCCTAGACCCTCACCGGACTTTATGCATGAAAGAACAAAGACAAATAATTTGTTTTCACACTTCCATGTAACGGTTAATTGGTAGTTGCATTAAAATACAATTGTATAATTAATTTTTCTTTAATATTTAAATGTATTCTTTAGAGCCACAGATCTAGAATTATGTTAGCACTGTACATGTAAGTCAAACATAACATCGTACCGAAGTCATTTAATTGATGTACATAAATTGCTTAAAATTTTCAACATGTTCAAGGAACTCTTAAAAGTATTTTACTACTCTGAAGTTTCTTTTTTGTAATTCGTTAATTCGATCAAGAAAACTGACAAATAATCATAGCAAATTTACTTTCAAAAATGGTAAGTAGTTTGACTGTATCGACCAGAATTTATTCTGCTTTTCAGAACATGTGTTTTTACTTCTCTCTAATCAATATGTCAGACCACACCATTTGTGTAACGAATGAGCGATTTTCAAAAAAAAATGTGCACATACTTTCTTTTGTAATTATATAATGAAAAGTTATTTACCGTTGTGAATTTGATCGCGAAAATACCGCAAAATTTTAGTGCTTTGCGTAAACTCTGCAACACAGTAAAATTTCAAACGATGGAGATCCCTGTACATGTCTTAGAACAATTGGAAATGGGGGTTGGGAATGGGGTTATCACGATTCTTTTAATTTTTTTCATAACCAGAAAATATGAGCAAAGGATTCGTTCTTTGTAGCAGAATAAGTTGAATTTTTAAAAATAAAACCTACATATTTTGTAATAAGAATATTTTATCTCAATCAATGTTAAGGTATCCGATCCAAAATAGCCCCAGATTCAATGAATTTGAATGCATAACAAATATATATTGGCTTAATGCTCAGTATATGTAGACATAATCCTCATGTTTTAGTCTCAATATGTAAGAGCGGAATGTGTCCTAATTTTTGATCTTGACAAGTCCTTGAAGAGTTATCCCCCTTTACTTTTAATCAATAAAATTCTTTTTTTTTTAATCTTTCTGGTTAAAAAATTATTTTTTAATTGTTTTTCTATTCTTATTAATTATATGCACCTTTTCTCCATAACATTTTTTTCATATTCACAGCATTTAAATTTTTATTTGAAAAAAAAAAACTTTTTTCCATAGACCTCAATGCATTCTTAATTCATTAATTACTGCTAAGGTAACTATATTTTTGAACATTTCTTTTGGTTAATCCATTTCTATCTTAAACTGCTAAGAATTAGTTGAAGAGTATTCAATATAGGATAGATATTTAAGGTTAGGAAATTATGTCCTTTTATGGATCGGGTACATTAATGACATATTTCAAGACACCTTGATGATCTTAAGCGAAGGACTACATTATCCAAGGTTTAAAGAGACCGTGTTTCTTTCCTTGATATTTTGATAATGTTTCTTGAATATTTTTTTACAATTGTATAAATGTAAAGATATTTTTATACTATGTAAAATAATGGAATATATTAATGTTTATCACGCATTCTCAATTTATAGTCTCAATTCGCTTTAAATAATGTACCGCGTTTTAAGTAATATAATATTTCAAATAAATTTTATTTTCTGCCAGTCTGACGAACCTTTGTTGGTTGTTGATTTAAATACAACAATTGTTTGTTGTAGCTTGAATGATTGTCTTAGGAGAAAATCGCATTTTATAGCAGAAATCGATATTTACGTTACTGTCGCCGATCATCGTGTAGTTTTTATTTTAAACCAAAAAGAATTTTTAAATCATTAACATATCTTTTTCTTAGTAAGATTGTACTACATTTGAGTTATATTTTCTGAATATCACACCCTTCACACATATGCGTGTCACAGATTTTTAAAAATGTTAATATATTTATCAAATTTTGATGTCACCGCAAAATTATTACTTTTCTATTTGGAAATTCAAAAGGACTGGAAGGAATGATGAACTAACTCAATAGGACTAAGCTGTAACTTTTTAACATCATGAGCACCCTTTCTATTGCATGGAAAGGTAAAAAAGACACTGTTTATCTGTGTTTATGAACAATAGCCCCCCTTTTCTTATAAGTCCAATGGTTAAAAAATTCAACGATATTTACGTGTTAGTATTTATTCACAAATTAAGTAAGAGAACTACACTGTCCCCTATGGGCCAAATTGCCTTACACTCAAGCACTAGAATATGCCTTTAATTAACAGTGGAATAATTGAACAATGGCATTAAAAGTTACGATAAATCTCAGAAAGATATTTACGTTACCGATATTTACGTTACCATGTTTTAAACTAAATAAGTATTAATTTCTAAAGCTGTTTGAGCAGATTTGCGAGTGAATCTTTATGATGTAAATTAAGAACATGAAGAAATATACACTGTTTCTTAAAATGTCATTTTTTCTGTAACAAGAGTGCAGAAATGCAAATGGAAGTGCACATGCAAAGGTGAACATTTTTACTCAATATCTTGTGCATCCGTGTGATTTGAAAATTGGATTGACATAATATTATTCACAAGTAGAATTGTGGTTTAATGATTGAATCTTTCCATTTTGAGCAATTGGTTAATGTTGCATAGTTTCAAGTGTAATGCACGTTATCATTCGGAACGTAAATCTGAAACAAAACTTTCTTCAAGTCTGTATTTTGCTGTTTGTTTGAACTGATAGTGATGGTCAACTTTAAAAAATGGTTATATACACTTGAATTGTATACCAAGCTAAATATTTTGAAGAAAAAAATATCGTTTTTGTAGGAAATATAATTCCAGAAAATAGGCGCTGCGTTGCATGCAGTGGGGGGGGGGGGGTGTTCTACATCGGGTAAAAAAAGAAAGACGGCTGTGGGTGTTGTGTGTCAAGATACTGGTTGAAATTGAATCCATTTCCATTTTTGTTGCTTTGCAAGAAATACATTTATTAACATGTATAAAATTTGCACCTAATTTTTCCCATTTGCATTGTTGCATAGACATATGACTTAGGAGGTATGCGTCTATGCTTCAATGGTACTGAAAATTCAATTTACGTTATATGAACGTAGAAAGTATATAGCTCTATAGAGCACATGTGATGTGCAACTGTAATTATTGACAAACTTTTTAAGGGTGGTGGGCGATCTTTGTTTTATTTTTGAGATTTGACGATAAAGTTTTCACAAACAATTAAGCATTTCTGGTATGTAGCAACAAGGGGGGGGAGCAGTCCCACCCTGCCCCCCCTTTTTTCTCCAGCCTTACTTCAACTTCAGTAAATGTTCAGTGAAAGGCTGGTTGCCCCCACCCCCACTAATAGTGATGTACGGAAAATATATTGTAATAATTGGTACTGAATGTAGTTGGCATTGAAAAAAGTTCGCCTCCCTCCTCTAGGATTTTCGACTTTGAGCAAGTTTTCTCACCCTGCCCCCATTTTTTTGCCTTGTCAACTTTCCAGGTAAGTAAAAAAAATTCTCTGGCTACCCCCCCCCCCCCCCCCCACACACACACACATACACTTTCAAAAACGATGCTATGTGAATAATCAACAGATTAAATGGTGGAAGGGGGTGTTATGAATTACATGAGTCCTCTATAGATAAATCATTTATAACTTGAATTTTCAATTCAACCCTTTGTAAGAACACAGATTAGAAAATTCATAAAATTCAATAATTTGAAATAATATAATCATTTTTCCCCCGAATATACTTTTATTTTTGTATGATATCTATGTGCGATATTTACGTGATATTTAACAAACACTTCGTAATCAGGTAATGGCGAAATATCTAATCTTTTTATATTCTAAATAATGTGCGTTTCTCTGAACAGATTAATAAAGAATCAATTAATGTAGCATTTTAGGGAATATTATCATTATTAAGCTTATCATCGAATGTGCTAAAACTTGTTAAAATAAAAAGAAAATAATTTCATTTAAATAAACAAAACAGAAAATTATGTACGTTTTATTTTTACTAATAATTGAATCAAATATTGTACACCCCTTTTACAAATGTGCTTAAACGTTTCATAAATGTTTATAGTTAACAAAATTTGATGTGTATTATATTAATTTTGTATTTAAAAAAAAAGTCTTTCGTTTCCAAATATGGCTTTTCAACATCACGTAAATATCTTGGTGTAAAATTAGCCCTCCAACCGCTTTTATTTCGAAGGAGGCCAACAAAACAATGCATGAAGTATGTAAATCAAATTGCGATTTTTAATAACTATACACTTTCATGTTTCAAATGACGTATAAAAGTGTTAATTTCAGTTCACTAATTTTTTTGACTTTTCCCAAGATCGATTTGTGACTATAAATTGAGAATGCGTGTTATACATTTTAAAATTTCTTAGGGGGCTATCTAAAAAATTATACTATTGGACCCTATTGGAATCGCTCGCCAGATTATCCTATGTTCCCTATGTTTTTGTATTTCTGTCGTAGGAATTCCCTTTGCAGTCAAATTCATGAAAGTTAATGTAAAAAGGCACACAATTCTGAAATTTCAAACAAAAGATGTCATTTTTCAGCGTTATGCATTGCTTACAAAATCAGGACAACTGTCGCATTATTAGAGCCATTGCAGTGTTTAATATCCTAATTATTGCCTTAAAAGCACAAGTTACATAATTATGTAGTAAGCTAAAAAAATTCATTGAAACAGTACAAATTCATAGCAAAGCAAACATGGACATTTAGAACGCTCAGTGGTGGGAACAAATGCCAATAATCTAAAAGCAAACCCTGTCCACCGCTCACACCTGCAACGAAAATGTGTAGATAGTTGTTTGAAGAACGTCAGTCATCATAGGAGTAAATGTGGCCTTCAACTTGACATTAAGATATATCGACGACGTAATTGTCAATTTACCAAGGGTTATGATTAACAAGATGACTAACTTTTCAATTAAATTAAGAAAGGTATTCTCACAGGTAGTACACATGTGTAATATAAAAATTTTATCTTTAATTTCTCATTCAAAAGATATGAGCAAAGGTAAAGTTCGTGACAGACGGAGAGAAATACAGACTGAAATACTGACAGACTAATGAGAAAGTGGGGAGGGGGGGGGCAAAATGATATCAGTTGTTCAAGCTGCTGGATGAACAAAACATGCTGTGTTAGGGTCAATAACTCTTCATCTAGGGAAGTAACTATTTGCATTTGGGTTAATACAGCAAAGATGGTATAAGATATTGTGCTTAAATGCTCCATTACAATACAGGTGTGACAATTTGTAGGATTTTCTAATGGAGTTGACTTCTTTTTTTGTTTATCCAATATAAAATTTGCAGAGATACGTGCATTGTACACTGTTGTAAAACACTTTCATTTCGTATACTGTAATTACTGTTATCATGTGAAATTTTTTTTATTTCGTTGGCAGAAAATATGTCTTTGCTAATAACAAAGCTCATTCAATTCTGAAATTTAAATTCAAAAATATTTATCGATGAAAACATTAGTGTTCAATAATCTATGTACATGACACAGTTTTGCTTGCTTTGCCAACTGATGTATCTCCAGTTATTGAACACCTTTTTTTTTTAGGAAAACACTTCAGCCATGATATCGATGCAATAATATAAAAGGAAAAAAAAATTTAATAACATTTAATAAAATAACGTTTCAGTTTTGATTCGTATATAGACGCTGGAATTGAGAAATGGTAGGTTCACATCTTTCCACCAGTTCCCAGGAATCTCAGAAATCTGACGTAAGATTATCTTTTAAATGTGTTCAGATAAAACATATCTATATTTGATAAACCTCTCCTAAGACAAATAATATTCTCTTATTTACTACGTAATTTTTGGCAATTGCAAGAGTTACATTGTACATTAAGAAGAAAATTAAACATGTTAAAGCCATATGCCATTAAAACAAACATTTCAGACTATATTGTTTTATATCATATTTCGTATTATAAAGAAGTTTTATATGAAAAAAGCCAATTTTCAATGCAATGTACATGCATAAAGATACAACGAGGTATTTTTTTGTGACGTTGTAGAGTGACTATGCAGAATGTGCACCGCATGCTAGCAGTTACAAAAAGGTATTGATAAATTTTACTTCTTTGATTAAGAATATTATAATATCGTTCTCAGTAAGGATATCACTCTACATTAAAATATATAAATTATGATTTTCATACTTTTTCCGATATCTGATATTTATTTAACTTAATATTTTTAATCTTTCTTAGCATTTTTGTAATACTCAACATAATGTGTTACATCAAGTTTCCAAGGTGTGTTTATTTTAGTCTTGTGTATTGTTAAAGCGTTGTTTGCGTTTTTTAAAGGTTTGTCCAATCTTTTTTGCCAAAATTTTTCTAGTCCTATTTTAAGGATTTTATTATATTTGTTGAATCTAAATTAAGAATATGTTTAAATGTGGACATTTCTAATTTTTGTCCTTATTTGGTAAGTTTTGTTTCGCATACAAATAAATGCTCATTTACAACAACTGAAAGGTTCATGTTATATTTGGCAAAAAACAGAGCAGAGTTGACTCATGTGTTAGGATTTTGGTTTACAGTCAGAAAAACATCATGATATAATTAATAAAACAGAAAAGCAATGGTTTTCAACAATTTGAACTTTAAAATGCTTTCGGAATACTTGTACATGTATTAAAGGCTAAACATGAGCCTCATATGTGTTGTGTTCTATACATTTATGTTTTATATTTATTTCAGTGATTCCATATAGAGATTTAAAATGAAGAAAACAATACTTTCGTTTAACTGTAACAAATAATTGATATGTTAAATTGCTTTTATCTATCCATCGTCTGAGTTTCTTTTTTTATACATCAAATTTCTGGAAAAAATGTGCTGATTCACACAAAAACTTTCCTCCACATTTATCTAATGTTACTGTTAAACATATATTGGACAATTTTAGAGACGATTCTTACACATTTAATTCGAACTTTCCTGTTTATATACGTTTATACTTGTTTAATAAAATGTGCAAGTGATGTTCATTGAGGAAAAACACCGGAAATCACTAAATAAATAAAAAAAATGTTTGAAATGAAATAAAATTGTTCAATTTTAAATTTAAGGTATCTTCAAGTTTCTCCATTAATATTTTCAGACTAAAAAAATGAAGGATCCTGACGAGGTAAGTTAAATTAAATAAAAGTGATGAATATCGTAGTCTGCAATGCACAATATTTGACAAGAATTATAGTTTTAGTCATTTTAGCAAATTTGGAATCTTTCAAACACGTAAATAGAAAAATAACTGCTATAATAAACTGAATTAACACCGCATTACATTGTTGTGCTCGGTCAGTATAACCTGTTTATATACAAGATGTATTCATTTATTTTGTTACATTTTAACGGAAAGATTTTGGAAACCGAATTCTACAGGATTTTGAAAATTGAAATCCCTTAAGCTTATTCGACATATTAAACATATTCATTACTTAAGTAATTCATGCATAAGAATAGGATCTAATTTACACTTTATAAATCATGCATATTCCATATCCTTAAGCATATTTAAAAAAAGAAAAAAAAATTCACTTATGAGATAACATTAATATCCTTAATGATTGCAAAATGGCTTACAATAGATTTGATGCTGTAATTGACCGTTTTACATAATTATACCACCCCCTGCTTGAAAAGCGGGAAGGTATATAGTAATATTAGTTACATAGTCTTTTAGTGACAGGGTATGGGATGATACCTGGTTAGTAAATTTCATACCTGGCGAGGCGGAGCCGAGTCAGGTATGAAATTTACTAACCAGGTATCATCCCATACCCTGTCACTAAAAGACTATGTAACGAATTTACCCCACCGATGAAACATTTACGTTTTATCTGTGGTTTATAAATGGTTTTCTCTGCTAAATGCTTCATCACGCTTATACTGTGTCTATTATGACGTCACGTTTGTGTTTGTGACGTAATACATCGACCGGGTATAGATTTTACTGACCAGGGATGGATTTACAACTGACCGGGTTTAAGTAATCCACTGCCTTCACGTGACAGACTTCAACCAATCGTAATTAGCCAGGATTTCACGGAAAAATAAACAGAGGTGGGGTAATCGGCATGTCCGTCCTTCTGTATGTCTAGCTGTTAATTCGTCCGTCCGTCTGTTACGCTTTTGGGTACCCATCTCTTATCCGCAACTTCTCTCATACCACTGAATGAAATTTAATGAGACTTTCACAGAATATTTAGGACAAATTGACATTGTGATCTCCTAATTTACTTTTTGATCCCAGACATAATTTGGGTTTCCTAAAGCAAAACATAAACACTGCTATTATATTCATATAGAAGGCGAGGGTATCATTTAGTGAGCTTATTGCTCACAATACCTCTAGTTTTTGTTTAGAGCAAATTGCTATGATTTTTTTTCCTTTTTTCAGTTAGAAGGATACAAGATGTATAATGGTTCTTACACGAGGTAAAAATGTTGAAATCACTAACTATTTTAACTATTTTCGGAATAAAAAAACATAATTATTTGATATTTTATCTCAACATTAATTGTGCACTTCTTTGTAGAGACCTTGGTAACGTACGTATATAGCTTTCTCTTTCTCTCTCTTTCTCTCTCTCAGAAGACGATTAAGTTATAAGAAGGAAAACTCTTATATTTCAATGATATGTAACTCTTGAACTTTTTATAGGAAAACAGAAACATTGAATGAAAACAGCAACACTTCCCTGAAGAAACATACCAAATTATCACCAGTTAGTGAACTTTCATTTGCCAATATAGATCAAATTCCGGGGTAGCTTTTCACTGACCTCATATTTAATATATACTTATGGCATAAATAAATATATACATTAATTTTGTAGAATCTATCTATTATAAGAACATGGATAGAGCAAATATATCTATATCAATTTTTTTCACAGGCCATAGGTCATTTCGTCATGTAATCAAAGAGCACAATAATATCGTCATAAAATGACTTGCTCTACTTAGCATAGGATATGCTTTTCATCATGCATAAAAATGAAGAAGAATATGCAAGTCAAATAGTTATTGTTTATTTACAATGTAAAGACGTATTTAATACAGTTTTTGTCGATCGGTTTAGTCTGTGTACATGAAGATAGAAATTATGTGTCTTTGCTTTAAGTTTCATGTCAGCTGCAGAGTCCATAAAACTACTCATGGCAAATTTAAAAATCTGTTGAAATATATCAATGCAACACATGCATTTGCATCACACTGCAAACAGATGACAAACACGTTGGCATTGTCGTAACAATCTAAGGGGTCGCTAGTGTCTCTGTGATGGCATCCTGATAAATATGTCTCACTGAAATTTATAGGGGAAGGGTAAAAAAGACGTTCACAACTAACAACTAATATTGAAAACATACTGAAATTAAAAACAGACCACCTTAAAACAAAATTAACAGACTCGTTTGCAAAATCAACAGACTCCGATGCAAAACCAACAGTCATTCACTGAATTGAAGCTAGATTGCACGCCAAAACAGACATACAAGTAATATAAATTACTGCTAGATGGAGCAAGTTCTTCAACGTCATCATTATATGTTAACGTAAATCACGCAAAATTATCAATCTGCATTTATTTGTATAAAGGCAAATAGATTATCACATTATCCACCCAAAACAAGATTTTCCAAAAAATGCTTCTTATATTAAAAACATTAAGATTGTAATATATCAATAATATGATCCTTCCTACAGAACGAAGGGGATTCAAGTAGCAGGGAAACTGACAATTCATTTGCCAATAGTTCACCTCCGTGAGTATGTTTTCACTGGTTTCATATTTACATGTAATACAGCAGATATACAGTAGTTGGAATTGTGTAGATCAGCAAAATTTCGGATACTTTGTATGATATACATTTATCTATTTATCTATTTAAAATTACGGGTCGTTATACTTGGTGCAAATATCTTTTTGCGAATTTTAGATATTGTTCTTAAATTGTCAACAGCGAACTAAATCGCAAGAATGATTTTCTTCCATCAGCTGAACTTTTGACATTATGCGGAAATAAAGTCCTAGCAAAGAAAAAAAGTGATTTACATTATTATTTGGTAACTTTGGTAAATAATACTTAAGGTCATCAGTAAGCCGGACTACGAAAGAACGAAATGGCATTCCCAGTCCAGCAAACCCGAGATTTAAAGATGATAAGGCAAGTTTCTTTGTTTACGTTTTTTACACCATGTACATGAAGAATGAAAATAAACCGATATCACACACATAAATCCATAGAAACGAATCAAGGATAAAAATTGAAAATAACGGACAATGATCGATCTCAAAGAATCAGTAAGCAATTCAAATGTGTGATACAGGCATCAAACATGGACACTTCTGAAAATTCCTGAGGCAGATTTAGGTAATTTTTGCCAACATTGTCATTATAACGAACATATAATTAATTTACAAAAATGCTGACTTTTATCGAGATTATTAATTACATGTACATGTAAGAACACTTTAACATCAATTTATCTGTGAGTACCATTCCCGGTTTTTGATTGTACTAAAGGCACACTATTGAGTGGTGAATAAGTTAGGAGACATAAACACCATAAAAAAGTAAAAGTGATATATAACTTTGCAAATGAGAAAAGTATACGATGAAAAAGCTGAAGTCATCTCGTTTGTCATAAAATTCAGTTGCTAGTTGGCTGTAATCGTAAATAATCCGTCAAACATCTAAGAATGAAAGAAGTGCGGCAGACTGTTTTTTGGCTTCTATTTCACGTTCACTTGGAGATTTCTAATCGAGAATGAATGAATTAAAATATATACATGCAACTATTTTTACTTGATGTAATATGGTCGATAGACATGCATTTGAATGTCACACTGAAAGCCTCAACAAGTGTTTTTCTCTTTTTAAGTAGAATTTTTTTAATAAATTTTGATTACAAAGAATATAAAAAAAGGTCAGCTAATAAAAGAGAACAATTCCTGGCCAACAGAATTTCAACAGTTTGTACAAATCAGGAACACAGCAAACACAGAATTTTAAATATTAAACATCAGACGAGGGGTCAGGTGCCATGGAAGATCTTTACATGCATTACATAAAGTTTACCATCGTTATAATAAACATCTATACATCAATACAACTGTATCTGTTTGAACTACATCATATTATTTGGAGTTATAGTCTGATTTTTTATAGCAATTGTAAGCTGTATTAATAAGTAATTGGCTTTATGTAATTCATAGGTTTTGCTTATGCAAATAAATTGCAAGCCATTGACAAGGATATTATTTCAAGGTAAATGGACGTAGTGTCCCTGCTCGGGGCAATCCCTAATGTCACTAGCACAAACGAAATATATGCACTGACACATACAAAATAAATGCACTAATCCGCACAAAATATATGAACTAAAACACACCAAATGTATGCACATCAAAACACAAAATACATGCTAAGAATTCAACACTATATGATTAAAATCACAAAAGCTAAAATATAATTACTACCAAAAGAAGATTTTCTAAAGAACATGTTGCTTATATTTAAATTATTAAAATGATACTCTGAAGTTGACATCAAAAAGATGCTTGAGTTTCTGATTGACAATATCTATGTGGTTTTTGGAGACCAGGTATTCCAACAATCTATTGGAATTCCCATGGGTACCCATTGCGCTCCGTTATTAGCAGACCTATTTTTATATCCATATGAAGCAGAATTTGTACAAAATCGTATGTGTGAAGAGAAGAAAACACTTGCCGTGGCCTTTAACTCGACATTTATATATTTCGACGACAAATTTTCAATTAACAACCGTTACGGTAATTTCCATTCCTACGTCGATACGATACATTCTGATGAGCTTGAGATAAAAAGATACCACAGATTCTGACGCACCTGTTTCATACTTCGATATTTTTAGGTCACCTGAGTAAACTCAGGTGACCTATTGCTATCTGTTTTCGTCCGTCGTCGTCCGTCGTCCGTCGTTCGTCGTCCGTCGTACGTCGTCCGTCGTGTGTTAACATTTGAACATTTTCAGCTTCTTCTCTGCAACAACTGAACCAATTTCAACCAAATTTGGCACAAAGCATCTTTTGGTGAAGGGGAACAAAAATTGTGAATTTCATGATCCCTGCCCCCCTGGGGCCTGAGGGGTGGGGCCAAAACCACTAAAATTAATGCAATCTTTAAAAATCTTCTTCTTTACTCTTGGACATCAAGCAGTCAAACTGTTTGCATGATTGTAATTAGCATTGAGTCCTCTACCAAAATTGTGAAATTCATGGCCCTGGGGTCAGGGGTTCTAGTGCTAGGGTGGGGCTAAATAAGTATATAGTGAAAATGCATTATTTCTTTGAAAATCTTCTTCTCTACTCCTGGGTATTAAATAAATGAACTAAGTACATAGTTATGATGAGCAAGAGTGCCTCTACCAAAATTGTGAATTTTATGGTCCCAGGGTCAGGGATTCTGGTGTTAGGTCGGGGCTCTATTGATTATATATAGTGAAAATACATGATTTCTTTGAAAATCTTCTTCTCTGCTCCTAGGTATTGAATAAACTAACTAAGTGCATAGTTATGATGAGCAAGAGTGCTTCAACCAAGATTGTGAATTTTATGGCCCCAGGGTCAAGGGTTCTGGTGTTGGGGAGGGGGGGGGGGGCTCTATTGATTATATATTGAAAATACATGAATTCTTTGAAAATCTTCTTCTCTGCTCCTAGGTATTAAGTAAACTAACTAGTAAGTGCATAGTTATGATGAGCAAGAGTGTCTCAACCAAAATTGTGAAATTTATGGCCCCAGGGTCAAGGGTTCTGGTGTTAGGGCGTGGCTCTATAGATTATATAGTAAAAATTCATGAATCTTTGAAAATCTTCTTCTCTGCTCGTAGGTATTAAATAAACTAACTAAGTGCATAGTTATGATGAGCAAGAGTGCCTCAACCAAAATTGTGAATTTTATGGCCCCAGGGTCAAGGGTTCTGGTGTTAGCTAGGCAGCGCTCTATAGATTATATAGTAAAAATACATGAATTCTTTGAAAATCTTCTCCTCTGCTCCTAGGTATTAAATAAACTAACTAAGTGCATAGTTATGATGAGCAAGAGTGCCTCAACCAAAATTGTGAATTTTATGGCCCCAGGGTCAAGGGTTCTGGTGTTGGGGAGGGGGGGGGGCTCTATTGATTATATATTGAAAATACATGAATTCTTTGAAAATCTTCTTCATTGCTCCTAGGAATTAAACTAACTAAGTGCATAGTTATGATGAGCAAGAATGCCTCTTTTAAAATTATGAATTTTATGGCCCCAGGGTCAGGGATTCTGGTGTTAGGGGGGTGGTGCTCTATTGACTATATAGTGAAAATACATTATATCTTGAAAATTTTATTCTCTGTCTCTGGATATAAAGCAGATGAACTACCTTTATAGTTATGATGAGCAAGGGCCCTAATCTTGCAGACTTGTGAATTTCAAGGCCCCAGGGTCAGGGGTGGGGTAGGGGCTCTACTTATATACTGAAAATGAATTTATTGTTTGAAATCTGCTTTTTTGTATTTATGAAATATTTATTTATTTTTTGATATTAAGGGTGCCTTTTTAAAATTTGTGCAATGTTTGGACCTAGGGTCAGGGGTTTATGTCACAGTGTTAGGGGCACTACTGATTAGTTGGAATGCATTTTTGTTCCCCTACCCTGTGTATGGGTATTCAGTAACCAAGCTAAGCAACTGCTAAGTGTATTGTTATGATGATCAATGGTGCCTCTGTCAAAATTGTGAATGTCATATAGCATCTGGCTTAAAACATGAATCAAATTCAATAACTGGAAAGTTGTTGCATAATGCTCAGGTGACCTATAAGGCCCGTGGGCCTCTTGTTCCTTTAAATATACGTTAATGGTAATCTAACAACCAAACCATATGATAAACGTGATGACCTTAACTTTTCTCTCGTCAACTTCCCTTACGGATGCAGCAAATTTCTTCATCACCTGCATACGGAGTGGAGATTATTTATCTCAGTTGATTCGATGCTCTACGTATGGTCAATTTCTAAAACGAGGTAAATTATTGACAAGCAAATTGATGAAACAAGAATATCAACAGTCTCGTTTAAACTCATCATTTCGTAAATTCTATGGTCGATACAATGACCTTGTCAGCAAATACAATTTATCAGAGAGTCAAATGCTGGCTGACGTTTTTCATACTTATTGTTAGTCCATTATTTACATACTGAATTGACGATGGATTGTTCGTCATTTCCCGAACATGACAAGGAGCACACGGCAGGTGTGACCGATCAGCATGGGATGTTTTTTTCTCCATGGCACCTGATCCCACCTCTGATGTTTCTGAGGTCCGTGTTTGATCTGCTCCAACTTTGTAATGTTTTATGGACTTTGATATTGAATACTATCCGTTATTTCCATATCCTTCTTAACTCTGAGTCGTTTTGAAGAAAATAAATATATTACATATTTTTTAATTAATGAAATAATCTCCAAATATTCACGGGTCATTGTTTAATTACTTTTATTATTAAGGTAAACTTTTGACATATTTCCCTCTGCATCTCAATATTCTACAACTGAATGATGATGCAACTCTAATTTTCAATTCAAATGTTTGGAAAAATCTCCGCAATGGCCCATTCATAAGTTTGCAGCAAACAACCAAGAACATCTATCCCATCCATTTGGTCTTAGTAATGTGAGGCTACCATTATATATGTCGTATCTTAATACCACGTACTGCCAGGCATTGTGCACGCTTAGTATGCATATATGCAGGGGATGCTCACTCTTCATTGACACTTGATCCACCTCTGATGTTTCGGAGGTCCGTGTTTGCTCTGCTCCTATTTTGCTTTGTTTAATGGACTTTGATATTGATTACTGTTCGTTATCTCCATATCCTTCTTGCATATGTCTTATATAATTATATCGCAGTTGATTCGATACGTAAGATCTTACTCTACGTATGAACAATTCCTAAAACGAGGTAAATTATTCACAAGCAAGTTGATTAAACAAGAATATCAACAGTCTCAGTTAAAGTCATCATTTCGTAAGTTCTATGGTCGATACAATAACCTTGTCAGCAAATACAGTTTTTCGTTGAGTCAAATGCTGGCTGACGTTTTTCATACTAATTGTTAGTCCATGATCTATACACTGATTCGACAACGGATTTTTCTGTTATTTCCCGAATATGACAAGGAGCACACGGCAGGTGTGACCATCCAGCAGGGGATGCTCACTCTTCCGTGGCACCTGATCCCACCTCTGATGTTTCGGAAGTCCTTGTTTGCTCTGCTCCTATTTTGTATTGTTTAATGGACTTTGATATTGAATTCTATTCGTTATCTCCATATCTTTAATGAGAGTTATATATCAAAAATATGATACTTTATCCTTCCACAGAACCCTCCTCAGAACGCAGGGGATTTACTGAGCAAATACATTGACCTTTCATTTGCCAATAGTTCACCTTCGTAAGTATTTTGTCAGTGAACCGTAGAAGTTTTACAATAACATATTTCAATTAAAAGATGATCACTCTTATATCAAAGGTCATCATTAACCATGAAAGAAAAAGAAGGAAACCACCCGTGCAGTCCAAGAACATCAACAATTAAAGGAAAAAAGGCAAGTTTTTTTGGCATGCTTTTTTAGTATGTAATACATATTGAATTTTGATTTTCATGTGGACTCTTAACTCATTTTTTTCAAGTCTTGTTCATGAATTTGTTATAACAGAATTTAACAATATGTATCTTGAATCACAATTCAGCCCAAGGCCTGGTGTTTGTCAAATGTAATTAAGTCAAGCATCAAGATCAAGAATTAACAAATATTAGTACATAAAGATAGGTTTTTTTCCACGAGAAATAAAGATGTGGAATATGAAAGTCTAAAACATTCAGAAAAATATTACAAAAGTTTTCCAGAAGTATGTCTTACCCCAAAATGAACGTCTATAGATCAAAAGTGTCAGAAGCAAAGGAAAGGTCGAAGAAAAAGCACAAGTCAAATATGAAAAGTTAAATAACAAAACATGAAATGGTACATGTATATGTAAAGCTAAGGTTTAAATATATACAAAAAGGTATTGTCATATGAAATAGACCGGTCACGGTAGCCTAGTGGTAGAGCGTTCGCTTCGTGATCGGGAGGCCCGGGTTCGATTCTCGATCGCGGCGCCGCGTCATACCTAAGACGTAAACAAAGGTAGTGACTGTTCCTTCGCCAAGCGCTCGGCACTAGAAGTGAAAGTCACGGGTCTTTCGGATATGACCTTAAAAACGTAGGTCCCGTGTCACGGTAGGCGTTGGCACGATAAAGAACCCTCACTGCTCAATGGCCCTAAGTGCCGAGTATAGGTCTAAATTTGAAGCTCTTCACCGGCATCGGTGACGTCTCCATATGAGTGAAAAATTCTCAAGAGGGACGTAAAACAATATACAATCATATGAAATAGGGGTCTAGGGAGAGGTGATGTTAACTTGCCCTTGCTTTATGGTAGTCTCGTTTCCGATGGTCATGTCAGATTTCAGGACCTGTCATAGAAAAATAATGATTTATCCGTCTTATTGATTTACACATAATATCTTTTGAAATCAACTGTGTGAGATGCTTTGATCAACGAACAATACATTAAATTTAGCGGACATGTACGAGGACTGCTCAATAAATAATGCCCTCGGTGCTCAGAAAGATGCAAAAGACGCTTTTCAATGATTTAGTCTTCATGATTTTACTAATTAATCTCTTTTAAGTAAAATACATGTCTGTAACATTTTTTATCCAATTTCTGATTGTTTTTAGAACTCATTTGTGGGTATGACCCTCAGTATATTGGAAAATGGCAGATCCAGTGATTTCCCGGACTTGTTTCTTCCCTCTGAAAGGTGTTTTTTTCAACTTTGGAAAAAGAAACAAGTCAAAAGGTCAAAGATCTGGCAAATATTGTTAATGTGGAAAAACATTAACTTTCTGTTTATCTCGAAAACCCCTTTACTCTTCAGGGCATGCAGGTTTGAACGCTGTCATGAAGAAATTCAATGCAGTAGATTCCTGATTCTGGGTCCTTCCTCTAATAAACCTTTTGATTTTTTTTTGCAAAAAAAGTGCTTTCTAGACTTCTCCAGAAATTAAACTGTCTCTCCGAGTACGAATTATTTGAACAACAATACCACTAATTTTTAAGAAAATTACATATAAATCTGTCTTTGTGCTCTTGAATACCTGTGCTCTTGTCAGACATGCGCCGTTTTTATCAAGTACATCTTATGGTAAATTTTGTTTTGAGGGTTTTAATCAATAGATTCATGTTTCAAGATCTGTTTGAAAATAAAACAAACGTGAATAACTAAATTTACTGATATTTTAAAATAATTGTTAAGAATTTTGTTTACGCTGTCGTTTTCACTCATTTTTCAAAATATAGGGTGACCTTTGAGTACCAAGCTTTTTTACCGTCAAAAGTTTCTTAAAAACAGTGTAAACTACTCCAGATATGATGTCTATCAAATTTGCTCTGTGTCTTAAAGTCAATCATACATCATCAAATATGATTTGTTGAAATTTGGCAACCAGTACATAAGTTGTTATAATTTTTGTTGGCAAGGAGGGTACCCATTTTTTATGCCCATTGTATAATTTTTTATCCTTGAAATCCACCTGATCTTTTGTCTATAAAACAGGCATTGGTTGCTATAAATGTCATTTATTTCAGTGAATATTTATTTGGGGTTTTTAACAAGTTTTACGGCAGCTATAATGAAGCTTTTATTTTCACTCTAGTTTACTGATTCTTTACCATTCATTTATAATGCAGTGTCTCGAAAAGCCCTTGTTACCCAGCTGCTCACGATGAAACTATGTGATGAAAAGTGGTCACATAAACTGTTACAAATTCATGAAAGATTCATTAATGAGAGGAAGTCAAGTTTAATGTCATATGATATCTGTAATGTATGTTATATAGTTCAGGACATTATTTATTGAACAGCCCTCGTAGTTCTTTAGCATTTCAAATATTGTCTTTTTGATACGGCGAATTTGAATGAAAGTAAATGAAGCTAAATATTATATTAGAACAACACAATCATCACTCTTTATTAAACCGCCACCAATCATTAATAATATATTTGTATTAATTTTGAAAATAAAATGTTTGTTTAATTTTCACATTTATATATATTTATACATATACATGAATATTTATATTTTTAATTGTAGCCTTCTTTTTTATTTCCCCAGGCTGGTAAGTCAAAACTGTTTTTTTTTCTGCATAAAAAGTCATTGAATGGATTTGATTTGATGATTCTTAATCTCCAAGAGCAGAATCTTTAATATGCTAGTCATTACCATTATTCTAATGTATTTCTGTATTTTCAATGTATTTTGTCTTTTACTTTTTGTTTTATATATAAACAATGCAATTTATTGTTTACTGAGTTAATATTCATAGTTTCATTTGATAAATTGGTCTCGTTTTACCCCTGCCTTTTGAAGTTGTCCGGCAATGATCAACCAATATCTGATGATTAGATCAATGAAAACCTTGATAAGTCAGGAAAACAGTGATATCATCACGAGACGTATAGTATCATGTTTATTACTGTAGTGTTTTGTTGAGGACTCTATGATAATAAGTATTTGATTGATAGATTGATTGATTGTGTGTTGTGACATGTCTTGCCCATCTCGAGAAATGTGTACTGATACATGTATGGAGACGCAACCTCGGTTTAGACAGTCTCAACCGGAAGACCTGTCTCCACCTCCCACAGAGGGATTCGAACATGCGGCGTAAGGGTCAACTCCTTACTTAAACCTCTAGAACAGACACTCTAACCACTGCGCCACGCATTATAAGCATTTGAAGTTATTAACGACAATGCATTAGATGTTTTTCCTCTTTGCAAAAAGAATGCATCCAAAATATTGTCTACTTCAAGACAAAGTATTTGAAAAATTTGGCAAAACCTAATACATGTAAAATTTTTGTACATGGAGATTTTTGACAATTTTTAGTAGGAAAAACGGTTGTCTTTCCAAATAAGGTCGATAAACATTAGAGTACTAGAGCTTTGCAACAATTTTGTTATTTATGTATTAAAGTTCTTTTTAAAACCAATGAAGGAAAGATAATTCCTGATACCCCCGAAGGTAACGGACATCTGCAAACCCCTAGAGACGACATAATTCAACGTACTCTGAAAGATGAGAGAAATCTACATACCTTTGAAGACGACAGAATTCCAAATACACATGTAGACAACAGAATTCCAAATACACCTGGAGAAAATAGAAATCCAAATACACCTGTAGACAACAGAATTCCAAATTCTCCTGGAGACGACAGAATTCCAAACAGAACTGAAGCCAACAGAATAACAAATTCACCTGGAGACGACAGAATTCCAAACACAACTGAAGACAACAGAATTCCAAATACACATGGAGACAACAGAATTACACATACCCCTGGAGTCAACAGAATTCAAAATACACATGGAGACAACAGAATTCCACATACCCCTGGAGAAAACAAAATTCCACATACTCCTGGAGACAATAGAACTCCACATACCCCTGGAGACAACAAAATTCCAAATTCACCTGGAGACGACAGAATTCCAAACACAACTGAAGACAACAGAATTCCAAATTCACCTGGAGACGACAGAATTCCAAACACAACTGAAGACAACAGAATTCCAAATACACATGGAGACGACAGAATTCCAAACACAACTGAAGACAACAGAATTCCAAATACACATGGAGACAACAGAATTCCACATACCGCTAGAGACAACAGAATTCCAAATACACATGGAGACAACAGAATTCCACATACCCCTGAAGACAACAGAATTCAAAATACACATAGAGACAACAGAATTCCAATTCCACCTGAATATATAGGTAGAAAATCATTTAAAAATACAAAAACTACAGTGCAAAGCTATTTATGTGCAAAACATTAAATTCAAACCTCTAACACTTCTTGCAATATAAGGCGTGACAGACGGACGGACAGCAGCTATACAGAGAAAAGGACGTCGGGTAAAGTGGTCATTAAGAGCCGCTCTACTCTGCAGGCGACACAAAAATATATTTCAATTTTCATTATTTCTAAACTCATGCACAAAAATATACTCACAATCAATAGAAACGCAACACCCTAATATTAGGGCGAAAATTATATACGGGATATAACTATGTACCAAAAAGTTAGGACATCTTTACTTTGCTAAATCAGTTATTTAGGTGGGATTTACGGAGTAATCACTTGACCTAAGGCGACGTGACAACCAGATTTCAACCCGTTAAGCTTTGTCGCAGTTCCAGGGTTATTTTCGCCCCGTCTAATTTTCGCCCTTTCACACTTGCAAACAATTTTTCCTCGTTTTAAATTCGCCCAGTCATAGTTTTGTTTAAGAAATTATACTATATCCTATTAATTCATAAGATAATTTCTCTTCTTATATAATTGCAAAGGGAATTTTTTTTAATTGGAAAGTATTCAGCTTGTACAACTATAAGACACCTGATTGAAAGCCTCAGTCTTAATTTTTAAAATTGCTGTATAAAAAATTTAAAAGTGAAAAGTAATATTCCTTTGGTAAAAGAGTGGTTAATTTCTTTTCATATAATATGTAAGAATAGCATACGCCTCGGTCCAACGTCACATCGGCCCACTGACATCTCGGCCCATTGACCCTTCGGCTCTTACAGATCGGCCCAAGATTGAATACATAATATTGAATACATCTAGGCTAAAGCATTTAATTGTGAAATATATTATTAAGTTTCAATTTCAGAATTTGCGACTTTTAGAATAAAATATTAACAATAAAAAAAAAAAACAAACAAAAAGGATAACTTTTTAAATTATAAAATAAACTTTCTCAGGATGTTAACTATTTTAGTCAAAAAATGAGAAGAAATAGTTAAGGCGCAGAATAGTCTTTCAAGTTGGAGTGTTGAGTGTATTTCATAATTAGTGACGATAACGTAGTTAATTACGAGCAGGCTCCATTGAATATTGTTTTGAACATCTATTATAAAAACATCCAATGGGTTCAACCGTATTGAACAATAAAATTCTAATTGATTTTGTTTTATCATCCACCCATGCAAAAAATGAATATAAACGAGCTATAATATCTATGCAAACTGACAACGGGGTTAAATATTGAGAATTTGCATCGGAAAACTCTTATAAGGACTATGATTTTATCTCGATATATAATTCATTGCCTTTGATACAATTTTATATAAAACTTAGACATGCAATTATGTGTTTTCATTGCAGAATTTTTTATAACAATTATTCAGTTTGCATTAGGTGCATTAGTTTTATGTTCATTCATATAAAATTTGGTATTTTTGTTAATTTACTCCAGAAAATAAAAAGGTATATGAGATATGAACAATTTCAGATTATCTCGGGGTGAAAATTTATTAACCTTTTATTAAGGAAACCGTATAATTCTTTATCCAAATAAACAACATTACCCTTATCAGAGGGTTGGTGAACTGTTAATGCGGTATTCAAGTCTCACCAGCGACATTTCTGGAATAAAAATCCTTGATGTTGGAATGATGCAAAGAAGGAGTGAAAATATATGTACATTTTACGTCGGCTAACTAAAATAACAATACAGTGTATATAGCAAATAGTGTTGTTTGTTAGATGTTTTAGGGAGAAAACATCTAAAATAGAAATTAAGTACACTTGATATCAAAAATATATATTTTTATATATTTGCAAACAAATCAGCATTCCCTTTCAACCATAATTAGTAAGTCCAAGTATTATTTGTGTCTTCTTCTTCAAATTTTTCAGGTGCAAAAGAACAAGGGGTGTTGGGAGAAAATTAAAAAGTTCATAAAATTTGCCATACCATTTAGCTTTCTTGTTGCAATTATCATATCAACACTTTTATACGCAAAGACGACGGATTTATCAAACACAATAACACCAAAGATTGAAGCTTTAAAAGATACTCAGAACAAAGGTTTGTCAAATTTTAAATGAAAATACACACTGTTTTGTCTATATTGTTGTTACACTTTTTCACTTTTATTTAAAGGCAGTAAGTATATTGATACCCCAGTTAACCATCAACTGGTTAATTTCTTTCCAAAATCCTCTCAAAGCTTGAACACCTTATCTTACCCTCATTCAATGAGTAAAAAGTCTGTAAAACAGTTTGTTGTTTGTGCCACCTTTGTGACCTTTTATAATTTGTTTGAAATTCTCAAAACAATTTTTATAAATGACATATGTTTTTTAGCAGACACAAGATATCAAGATGAGAAATAAAACCAATTTTGAAGAAGGAGATAATCCAAATTTACAGTAATTACCACTTTAGATGAAACAGAGAAATCATGAAAATGGGTCTGAAAACGCTAAAACATAAATTTAAACAACAAACAGGTGGGGTGGCAGGAGGTAAATAACTAACTTCAAAACAACGTCCATCCTCTAAGGATGTAAATGGGAGAAAAGGCAGAGTAACGCCCCGCATGGTCAGAAATTCATTTGTTAGATTTTGATTGGTCAATCTCTGCCTCTCCTTCCACTGTAAGACATGGAACAAAATTACCATTACAAAGCACAGCTATACAGTATTTCAAACTTTCACATTCAAGGAGGGCACTTATTGATTACAATAAAAAAAAATAGTAAACTTAAATTTATTTAGTGTAAAACATTGTATAAAGGATATGAAGATAACGAACAGTATTCAATATCAAAGTCCATAAAACAATACAAAATAGGAGCAGAGCAAACACAGACCTCCGAAACCTCAGAGGTGGGATTAGGTGCCATGAAGGAGTGAGCATCCCCTGCTAACCGGTCACATCCGCTGTGTGTTTCTTGTCATGATCAGGATATAACGGGAAAATCCGTCGTCAATTCACCTTATAAATAATGCACTAACAAAAAGTTTGAAAAACGTAAGTCAACTTGTCTCAATGATAAATTGTATTTGCTGACAAAGTCATTGTATCAAATCGCATGAAAACTGATAGTCGGCATTTGACTTCATGTAAGATTGTATTTTTTGACAACATCATTTCATCAATAATAGAATTTACAATCTGTTGACTTTAATCAGAGGCTGCTTTCATTCCAATCCGTTTTAATTGTCTTTTTTCCTTTGGAAGGTGTGCATATTTTGTCTCAAAGGAAAGAGAAACCTAAACAAAAGATTCATTATTTTTTTTAAATCTTGCATGGTTATGCAAGTTACTGCATGTTTATGTTTATCTTTTTATCAAACATTTATTTTTTTTTGTATTAGATATCTTTTGATAAAAAATTGTGAGTATGTTTTAATGTGCTCTTTGGTTTATTAACAGATTCGGGGGAGATAAATAAAACCCTGTCAACAGCAGTTCAAAACCTTCATCAGCGAATTGAAGACATACAAACCGGTATTGATACAATGTACCGAAATCTGATAACGTTTAACAGTAAAGCACTTCAAGATCTTGGAAACGTAATGAGGATTTACCTCATTTCAAATTCAGGAGGTATACATCTCATATAAAATATTACAATTAATAGAAAGTTTAGAGATCTTGTCGGGTTAATAGAGTTATTAAATAAACATGTTTGTCACATCTTGATCATATTGATCATGTTAATTGTTTTGAGAATACTTCAACGAAACATAACATTGTTTGCAGTAGCTACCGTATAAGTAGAAATTTTAGCGAGGATTTAATTTTGGCATTATTAGCGAGGCTGTTGAGATCGCTAAAATTGAATATCGCTAAAAATAAATCGCATTATATTTGTACTAGCTTCTTTAGTGAGCATTTTTAAATCGCTAAAATTGCTTCTCGCTAAAAATAAAATACCAGTTTTTAGGGAGAAATCGCTAAATTTGCGTCTCGCTAAAATTTCCACTTATACGGTATTTTGAACCGTTAATCAAGCTCATGTTAAAATATTTCTTTTATCTGGACTATCAATATTTTATTAGAGTACGTTTAATTTAAAAAATCCGATTTCTTATCAGATTAATCTGAAAATACACTCCTTTCCAGGCAGAAATTTTAAGGAATTCTAGAGAAAAATATAGCAAGATTCAAATGCTTTATTTTTTGGTGTATTTCTTGTTATTTTATAATATATACCCATGTATAAATACATGTATTCTGAAAGCAAGTCTAAACTATTGAGTAGTTTTTGAAACTGATTACAAAAAAAAAATAATAATTTCCGTTGCCATGGCAACAAAATACACCATAGTCATGCTTGACTTTCCATTTATTCAAGAATGAGAAAGAAAACGTTTAGTTTGATATTTTCAAAAATTAACTTTAGTTGTTGAAAATTATCAGCAGTATAACTTTTTTGTATCTTTACCACCTTTAAGTACATGTATTTGAGGTTGGATGGGGGTGAGGTTGGGAGGTTTTTACCAGAACTCTACATTTTTGGACTTCATGTGTAATCAACGCGTTGATTTTGAACAAGGAAAACAACTTTAATACAAAATGTAGTGCGAGAGGTTTAACTCGAGCTAGCTTAGAAATGGTTAAACCAATTTAAAAAATGTGAATTATTTTATCGTTATTATTTTCCCTTTCTAACAATACCAGAATTATTCTGATATTTTAATTTCTAGTATTAACGCAATAATAAATGTTTGTTTATATTACACACGTTTTTCACGTCAGAAATGCGCATATACCATGTGCATGTATCATGTGTACTTTTTAGGTCACCTTAATAAACTCAGGTGACTTATTGCTCTCCGTTTTCGTCCGTCGTGGTACGTCGTTCGTAAACTTTTGAACATTTTTAACTCTTCTCTGGAACTATTGATTTAATTTCAACCAAATTTGGTATACGGTATTTATGGGTGAATGGGGAACAAACATTAAAAATGTCATGGTCCTTGCCGACCTCGGGCTCCAGAGGTGAGGCCAATACCACTGAAATAAACGCAATCTTTAAAAATAATATTCTTTTCTCCTGGACATCAAGCATTCAAATTGTTGACATGCTTTTAATCAGTATTGAGTCCT